AGAGCATGCAAGACAGTTGCGTAGGTACACACATGGCAGTGTGCTTTGCTTTCCTTTTCCCCTTCACCCACGTTTGGCATTTCTCCCCAGGCTATCCCTCCCCACCTCCCCCTCCCACTGGCCCTCCCCTTTTTCCCCCTATAGACCCCAGTGTTTAGTACTCCCCTTTCTGTGTGTTCTCATTTTTCATCACCCGCCTATGAGTGAGAATATGCGGTATTTCTTCTTCAGTCTTTACTGTCTTGCTTCAGGAGAGAAACACCTCACCAGTCAGCCAGATGAGGGATTCTGAGTCTCTGTTAGACTTTTGCTGTGGATGTGCCTGCTTTACCTATTTTGTTTCCTCTTGGGCAGAATTTTTTAAAATTGTTTGTCCTCTCTCAATCCCACAAAGCCAGGCTGGGTGCTGGGAGTCTCTCAGTTGTTTCTTTAGGCAACATTCTGAAATGCCCATTTGTGTTGTAGCCAAGCACATGAAAGGAGCTAGCTACACTTATAGATGGGAGGCCGAGAAACACAATGTGTTGGGAGAACTTTTGGGTCAGTTATGGTGGTCCACAGGTGAGGCATACTGAACAGCTCATGGGCAAACTTTCTGTTGGAGAATAGTAGAATATACAGCAAACTGACACAAGAACAGAAAATGAAACACCGCATATTCTCACTCATAGGTGGGTGATGAAAAATGAGAACACATGGACACAGAAAGGGGAGTACTAAACACTGGGGTCTATTGGGGGAAAAGGGGAGGGCCAGTGGGAGGGGGAGGTGGGGAGGGATAGCCTGGGGAGAAATGCCAAATGTGGGTGAAGGGGAGAAGAAAAGCAAAGCACACTGCCATGTGTGTACCTACGCAACTGTCTTGCATGCTCTGCTCATGTACCCCAAAACCTATAATCCAATAAAAAATTAAAAAAAAAAAAAAAAGAAACTTTGGTTGCTGAGAGTCCCTACCTCTCCTCTCAGCTCCTAGCCTCTCCCAGCCACTCAGCCATGTTGATTCCCTTAGTACTCTAAATGGGGCAAGAAAGAGGTAGGCCTCTTGGACAATGTCTCACACAGTTGGAAAAGCCTCACTCACTAAATTTTTACTTTCCCCTGTGGGGGCAATTGTAAGCTGAAGGAGTTTCCCCTGGCATTGAGCTCTGTCACCTTGAGGGAGAAGTGAAATGTGTAAAATGAAACTATTGTTTTTGCTGTCTTCTGTGAAATTACTGTCATAAGTTCTGCTCTAATGATATGCTGGAATTTCTCAGCTGGACTCCCAAACTCCTACAAAAATATTCTCATCTGCAGATGCTTGCCAAAATCAGTAAACTGTGAGATGTTAGAAAACTCCTATTCTGCCATCTTGCTTATGTCACTCTGAAAATGTCCTTATTTCACCCTCATATTTATAGTTGGGGGACAATAGTTTGATGGTGCATAGGATTTTAGTTGAAAATCATCTTCCTTCAGAAGTTGGATATATTTCTATGTAATTTTCTCATTCTAAATATTTTTTGAAAAAGTCAAATGTCATCTAGATTTTGATCCTTTGTATGAAACCTGACTTTTCTCTCCTCTCTTAATTCTCAATACTCATTGAATGAGTGAGCTTTTCTTTTTTATTTTTATTATTATACTTTAAGTTCTGGGGTGCAGATTATGTAGGATTGTTACATAGGTAGGCACGTGCCATGGTGGTTTGCTGCATCCATCGCCCCATCATCTACATTAGGTATTTCTTCTAATGTTATCCCTCCCCAATCCTCCCCACCCCCTGCTATCCTTCCCCTAGCTTCGCCACCCTCAACAGGCCCTTGTGTGTGATGTTCCCCTCCCTCTGTCCATGTGTTCTCATTGTTCACCCACTTAGGAATGAGAACATGCAGTGTTTGGTTTTCTGTTCTTTTGTCAGTTTGCTGAGAATAATGGTTTCTAACTTCATCTATGTGCCTGCAAAGGGCATAAACTCATCTTTTTTATTGCTGCGTAGTATTCCATGGTGTATATGTGCCAGCTTTTCTTTATCCAGTCTATCATTGATGGGCATTTGGGTTGGTTCCAAGTCTTTGTTATTATAATCTGAAATAATCTTGTTCATTTTTTTAAATTACTGAAGTATTCCTGAATTGTTCCTTTAGTATTTTCTATCCTGTTTGTTCTCAGTTTACTCTTCTTAGAACTTCTATTACTCAGATACTGTCTCAACTATTCTAAATTTATCTTTACTGCTTTTTTGCCTGATATTACCACATTTTCCAGAAGACCTCTTCACATTTGTTATTTGATTCTTCTATAGAGTTTTTCTTTCAATCATTCTTCTAAGTTAGAACATCAACTTAAGAAAAAAGTCATGAAGTCTTTTTTCTTCCATTTTTGATATCTGTAATCTTGGCACAATGTCTGGCACTTTTAAGTCTCAAAGAACGGCAGCTTTAAGAGTGTGTATATATATTCACACACATACACATATATTAATAAGGTATATATATTTACACAGTATATATTATATTCTTTCAGTACACTAATTCTTACCTTTTTCCTATATTCTCTGAGGTAGACAAATTTTACACATTTTTACCTGAATCCAGATCATTTTGATATGTTTTTCGTTCTTTTTTTGACTGACATCCTCTGATTCTTTTTTATTTCTAATAATTATAGATAATATTATTACAGCACTTTGTGCTAATTGCTTTTCTATATAATCTCTTTTAATCCTCACTACAACTCTATGATAAAACCATTCATATACTCACTATTTTTTAGAGTAGGAAACTAAGGCATTGGGAGTTTAAAGGACTTGCCTAGGACTACCTAGCCAGAGGTTATATAGCTAAGATTCCATCTTAAACCAACCGACTGTGCTCTGAATTGTTTTAAATTTAAACTGTAAACAACATAATACAAATATTTAAATAAATAATATAGCAACATTTTTACCACAGTAGGCAATTCCATTTTCAGTAGAAGATAAAGAGACATCATCTTTTCCTTAAAATTATATTTTAATTTACTTCTGCTTCCATGTCCTGCTTTACACATAATTTAAGGATATACCATTTTAAGGCAGAAACCTGTGGAGATAAAGCATTATGCATGCCAGCATGCAATGAGTACAGATTGGAGAGTGAATAGAAAAAGCTAAACAGAGAAAATGAGAAGTTTTATACTCCTTTTGAAGATATTTAAAGTAAAGAATTTTATGGGAAACTGTTAAGGATGATTCATAAGTTAGATTATTAACCTGGCTGCCCTTTTTTTAGTGACTATTTAATGAAAGAAGTTCTAGGTATTATGGCCTTTCAAAAAAAAAAAAGAAAGAAAGAGAGAGAGAGAGAGAGAGAGAGAGAGAGGGAGGGAGGGAGGGAGGGAGGGAGGGAGAGAAAAGAAAAGAAAAGAAAAGAAAAGAAAAGAAAAGAAAAGAAAAGAAAGAAAGAAAGAAAGAAAGAAACAGGCTTTCTCATTAAATACATACATAATGGAGCTCCAAAACTTTTGGGGGCTCTTATTTAGAAGTTAAATAATTCAGTAATAATTTTAGAACTGCATAATTTCTGGCAAAATTTTAAATAGAGAGAAATGGGGTGAGAAATGTCACAAACCTCCCTTTGGACCCCCATTTGTCAGTGGATAAGTGACCAGTCCTGGATCTGACTACCCTCCTGCTGCTTCAACAGCTCTAAAGTCTTGTGGACATGGTAGTCTAGATGAATGGAATCTAGAAAGGTGGAATATTTTGTTTCTTGAGTATCCATCATCAAAAAGGTCAATTATATCCTGCCACAAAGTGTTCCTTATCCTTCTGTCTGATGTGAAGTACTAGGAAAGGCCAGTTCTTTTTGGAAATTTTTACATCCTTGATAATAGTTTCAAAAATTTAGAGAATGTGGTATTGCAGGCATATCATATAGTAACAGCTTCATATAGCTTCTTCCATTCTAATTTCTGCAGGGTCTGCTACATTAATTCATTTGCATCAATTAGTTGAAATGTCCCCCACATATTTTATTCCTCTGACCTTCACATTTATGGATTAGGTTTGCAGCTTCTGTATTTTCAGTTTCATAGAAAACTTTGTGGGTTTTTTTTTTTGTCACATAGCCAGTAGCACAGCTGTGACAGCAGATGAGCAATTCTCCAAGGGCAAATAGCCAGGCTGGCTACCTCAGAGACTCCAGGGGGAACCCAAGGAAAGCTGCTTGACTCTTCACACTTTCAGGCAGATGCAGAGCTATACCTTGTACAGCCAACAAAACAGAATTATATAAAATTTATCCCTGCCCCATATTACTTTGGGAACATCTTTCAGTTTTGGATATGTTCTTAAGTATGTGTTCAACTTTCCTAACCTTATAAAATGATTATTGGAAGTAAAGATTTTATCTTTTTTTCTTAATATCTATTTGTTCTCCCTTCTCTCAGTGGTGGCACTATAACTTAATAATTTAATCTATTTTTATTTCTTTAGGTTACTAAAGATCAGATTTATCTTAGGCCAAATATACAATTGTCCTCAATTTTATATCCAATTTTAAACTCTTATCATAAAATGTTATTCAATATTCAACCTTTATTAAAAATTATGTATATGTGTTCTCATTGTTGGGGAGGGGAACATCACACACTGGGTTCTGTTGGGGGGAACTAGGAGAGGGACAGTGGGGAGGAGTTGGGGAGGGATAACATGGGGAGTAATGTCAGATATAGGTGATGAAGAGGAAGGCAGCAAACCACATTGCCATGTATGTACCTGTGCAACAATCTTGAATGTTCTTCACATGTACCCCCAAAACCTAAAGCACAATAAAATACATTTTTTAAAAAATTATGTATATATTATTAATAATATTGATATGTTATTAAGTTTTTATTTCTACTTAAATAGTTATCCGAAATGGTGTTTGCACTATGTACTGACTCATAGTTTTAATAATTATCTAAATATTAGAACTATAGTTTAAAGAATATTTGTTGGAACATTTTCATGTACTTTTGTTTTTTTCACATTTTAGGTGTACAAGAATTTCCAGAAAACATAAAGTGCTGTAAGTGTTTAACAATTATTGAAGCCAGTGTCAATCCCATTTCTAAGTGAGTATGAGTGATTAAATTTCTTTTGTATTTATGTTTCCATTGTATAATAATGTACCAAAATAGATGAAATACACGTAATGATTTAAATTTAAATGTATCATTGACATAGCACTTAATAGAATGATGGAAAAAATTAATCAGAATAGTTTGACTAAAGATGATTTAAAATATTGCTGAGTAGCAATGAATACCCAATTTGCAAACGATGGTATTACTTTGAGGCAAACTTTGTCGCCATTTTCCACAGCTCTCAGGTAACATTCCATAGATAAGAGTTGAAACTAAGAAAAGAGTTATTAGATATGGTCATGGGGAAAAATTAGCATCAAGACCCTGCCAGAAGTTCAACATCATGCAAATTTAAGATATTGATAAGTACATAAAAATACCCTATCATGTAGTTCAAGGAAATTAAGTAATGACCAGAAATACAAAGTACTTGTATACCAGATACTGTAGCAGAGTAAAGAGAAAACCCTAGAAGGAAAGGAGAATGGAAGATATGGATGATAAAGATGCTGTGATCAGAAAATAGGTATTTGTATTTCGAGATCTGTTAATTAAGAAATGCCATGGAAAAATGATACCAGGCAAGTGACCATGCTGGTGAATTGCATCTTATGTAGTGACATAAGTCCGTGGAATCAAGTAGGTCAGGAAGCAATAAAATAAATTGATTGGAGAAGTCATGAACCTGAATGTTAAAGTCACTTAATAATGGAAGTAAAAATAAAATCTAGAGAGGCTACTGACAGTTGCAATATTTAGAAGGGGTTGAAACAAGTCAGTGGTATTGGATGGCAAATAATGAGTTTCAGAGTAAGACTGGCATTTTCATTATACAAAGCTGACAGTAGGATTTGAGAAAAATTCCTCAATCTTTTGTTTGATGAAGTGTAGGAGGCTGGGGGAAACTGAAGCCCATTAGAAAGACATTTAATGGATGGAGTGTTATTAGAAGAAGACATAAATAAATTTATCAAAGGGAAATTGATGGGAAATTTTATACCAATAGAGTTGAGGAAAGGGAGTAGTGAAAGTGGTTCTCTATGGATGATGGGAAGAGTCTCTAGATGAGATGAAGAGTGGAATAGAATGTAAAAGAATGAAGTGGAAGTTAAGATGGAGATCTTTACAGTTAATGGTTTGTGAAATAATCCGAGGCCTTTTGTATGAAATATAAAACATCAAGCAATAAAAAATGCTTAAAAATTACAGTTTTTCTCTCTGAAAAGTAAATAGAGAAGTAAAAAAAGAGAAAACAAAACCCTAAAAAGCTTTTCCCAAAACTCTTAAACCAAAATGCAATCTCAACATCTCAATGAAATAGATGTTACTAATTTCTCCCACTAGGATTACAGCCATGTTCTTGACTTGATTGAAAACAATCCAGTGTTGATAAATTGCTTTTTTTCCTAAGTATTTAATTCTAATAGCTCATCTTATTTAGTACTCATGGTAGGTCTTTGGGAGTGGAAGCCAGATGATAAATTACATCTTTGAGAAATTTCAAGTCTATGGTCATTACTGGATATGTCTAATTCCTTCATATGTTTAACTGTTTAAAAGATAAATATGTGACCTATTTCAGCAAAAATGCAGAACACTATAAACATTAAGCAGTTTTGAAATTCATAAAAATTGTGATAAGTAAATGTAAATTGTTTGTCAAATTATAAAGTCAGATTTTTAAAAATGTTATCTACATACAATAAAATTCACTCTGGCACGGTTTCTTACACCTGTAATCCCAACACTTTGGGAGGCCAAGGCAGGAGGATTGCATGAGTTCAAGACTGGCCCTAGCAACATAGTGAAACCCTGTCTCTTCAAAAATTGCAGAAGATTAGCCTGGTGTGGTGGCATGCACCTGTAGTCCCAGCTACTTGAGAGACCAAGGTGGGAGAGTTACGTTAGCCTGGAATGACAAGGCTATAGTGAGCCATGATCATGCGCCTGCACTCCAGCCTGAGCAACAGAGTGAGAGCCTGTCTCAAAAAAATAAAATTAACTCTATTCAGGCATATGGTTCAATGAATTTTAACAAATGTATATAGTCATGTGACCATCTCCATAGTCAAGATATAGACTATTGCATCACCTCAAAAAGTTCCCTTAGCCTAGTCATCCACTGATGATTTCTATCCTCATTGTTTTGTCTTTTTCAAAATGACAAATAAATGATATCATATTTTTGTGTCTGACTTCTTTTAACTTAACATAATGATTTTGGAATTAATTTGTAATGTTTCAATAATCAATACATCATTCCCCTTTATTACCAGGTAGTATTCCATTGTATGGATATAACATTATTTGTGTATCTATTTATCAGTTGATAGGCATTTGGGTTGTTTCCAGTTTTTGGCTATTATAAATAAAGCTAGTATAAACTACACACAAGTGTTTGTTTTAGCATATATTTTCATTTCTATTGGGTGAACCCCTGGGAGTAGTTTTCTGACTAGTATGTATATGTATGTTTAACCCGATAAGAAGCTTCCAAACCGCTTTCCCAAAGCTATTCAATTGTGCGTTTCTACCAATTCAGTTGTTCAGAGTTTAGTTGTTCCTCATATTTGCCAGAATTTGGTTCTGTCAGTTTTTTATTATTTTCCACTTTAGGTAGTGTAGTAGAAATGGCATTTCATTGTGGTTTTTATTTATATTTCTAATGTCTAATTAGCATCTTTTCATGTACTTATTTATCATCTGTATTGCTTCTTTGGTAAAAATTCAAATTTTTGTTCATTTTTATTGGCTTGCCTTTTTATAATTGAATTATAAGAATTATGTTTATATTCTGGACCTTTAGAAGATATTTGTAAGCCAAGATGTGCTCTTATTCTATGGCTGATCTCTTTATTTTCTCTTTCTTTCTTTCTTAATTTTTTTTTTCTTTTTTTGAGACAGAGTCTCACTCTTGTTGCCCAGACTGGAGCACAGTGGTGCAATCTCGGCTCACCACAACCTTGCCTACTGGGTTCAAGTGATTCTCCTGCCTCAGCCTCCCTAGTAGATGGGATTACAGGCATGCACTACCATGCCTGGCTAATTTTGCATTTTTAGTAGAGATGGGGTTTCTCCATGTTGGTCAGTCTGGTCTCTAACTCCCAACCTCAGGTGACCCACCCACCTCAGCCTCCCAAAGTGCTGGTATTACAGGCATGAGCCACCACTCCCGGACCAAATCTCTTTATTTTCTAAGTACTACCTTTCAAAGAGAAGTTTTTGAATTTAATGAATTTCTATTTAATAACTTTTTATGGTTTGTGCTGTTCTTTCTTATCTAAGAGATCTTTGCTAAATTTATAGCAATAGTGATTTCCCCTGTGCCTTCCTCTGAAACTCTTATAGTTTAGGTTTTACAGTTATGTATACGATCCATTTAAAGTTGATTTTTTACATTGTTGTAAAACGATTGATCACATATATTTGAGTTTATTTCTGGATTTTTGATTTTTGTTAATCTGTACATTTGTCCTTACACCAATTTTCTACTGTCTTAATTACTGTAGCTTTATATAATAGTAAGTCATGAAATCAGGGAATATGAGTCCTTCAACTTTGTTCTTCATCAAAATTGGGATAGTATGTTTTGCTCTTCCATGTAAATTTTATAATTAGCTTGCTAATTTATACAAAAAATATACAAGTCTGCTGGAATTAAGATAGAGATTGCATTAAATCAATAGATCAAACTGGGTAGAATTTAACATCTCAAAAATATTGAATATTCTCATCCCTGAGCATAGTTTAGCTCCATACTTATTCAGGTATTTTAAATTTTATCAGTGTTTTATAGATTTCAGCATACAAATGTTGTTCATTTTATTCTAAGTGTTTCATGGTTTTTGTGCTATTGTAAATGATTTTTTATTATTCCAATTGCTTACTGCCAGCATGTACAAATACAATTGATTTTCAATATTTATCTGATCTTCTACAATCTTACTAAACTCACTTAGTAATTCCATTAAATCGCATGTATCTGTAATTTTGGGGAAAGTTTCTTTGTAGAATATCATGTTACCTGTTAATAAGACAGTTTTGTTTCATCATTTTTTATCTACATGCCATTTCTTTGTTTTTCTTACCTAATGGTCTTGGCTAAGACCTACTTTACATGTTGAACATAAGAGGTGAAAGCAGGCATCATTGCCTTGTCCCCAACCTTAGAGAGGAAGCATTTAGAGTTTCACCATTACGTGTAATTTTTGCTTGTTTTTTAAATATATGCTATTTATCATATTGAAAAAAAGTTCAGTAACCTGCCATTCACTTCCCGTTGAGCCCTCATTAGCAGGGCCCTCAACGTTTAGATTTCTTCTAATAGTCTTTTCATAAAATGTATGCTTTATTATGTTTTTTTTTAATATTCTCCAGTCTCTGACTGACTACTGAGTGCTTCCAAAGCCACTACACATTTTTAGAAATTAGTTACAGCAGAACCCTAATTCCAAGCATCAAAAATATTTTATTAATTTTCTAATGCTCTATAACAAATCTCCACAAATGTAGCAGCTTAAAACAATGCATATTATTTATTTCTCAATGTCTGTGGGTCAGGCTTGGCATTTTGGGCATGGCTTGTCTGGGTCCCCTGCTTCAAAGTTTCACCAGGCTGCACTTCTTGCTGGTTGTTAGCTGGAGACCACTTATGGGACCGGGAGATTGTATTTAGTTCCCTGCCATCTAATTCTCCCCCAAGGTAGCTTTGAGTCTCTTAGCCAGATGGAGCTATATAATATAATATAGTTGTGGGAGTGACAGTCCATCATATTTACCACATTCTGTTGATTAGCAGCAAGTCACAGGTCCTGCCAACACTCGAAGATTATACAGGGGCATGAACATCAGGAGGTGAGGATCACGGGGTGGGGGTACGGGGTCATTTGGAATGTGTCTTCCACACATCTGATATTTGGTTTACTGAGGGTATTACCAATGGATGTTGAATTTTTTATAACACCTGTTCATATCGTTTGTCTTCTTTA